TCGTTTATCCAAAGATAATTCCATGCTAAAAATAAATTTCAATAAATATTTATTATTTTGTATTAAATAACAGTCAAATATTTTTGAACTGCAAAGTATACAATTTTTAACGTCATTTTGAATTAGATAATTTTACATGGCAAAATACAAAATTTGAGTGAAATCAGTGGAATAGAATTGAAATCGAATTTTAAAGAAGTTGTGTATTTAAAATTAGATACCTCAGAAACTATTCAACCGATTTTGCTCAAACTTTGCCATGTAAAAGTATATACTTTAAATTGATGTAAAAATTTTTATAACTTGGAACTCAAAATTTTTTCGATTATCTTATGAAATATAAATATTTACTGAAAAATATTTTCTGTGTGGAATTATCTTTGGATAAACGAATTTTATAATTGTATGCATCCATTTTTCAATTTTCTTAAAAAGTTCTCCAGATTTGGCAAAATGTGTAAAAAGTAAATTAACATAAAGGTGTCTAAACCTTTGATTGCTCTCCTGAGGGGAACTATGGGAGTCATATTTTTCCAATTGTGGCTACCCTCTATATTTGGGGAGTCAGAAATCCGAATCTGTTAGAAAAAAAAGGTATGTTTATTTAAAAAAAACGAAAAAAAAACAAAAACGTTATTGTGTATAATTTCGTAACTTAAAATATCGTCTACTCTAATTAATTAGTATCAATGTCACTAATTTTTTAAGGTTCTCGATTTTTTGCTCTCCTTATCTGTTTTCTGTAAAACTGTTGAACTCCTTGTGCGTTGAGGCTCTCTTGTGCCTTAAAGTCACGGTATTCCTGTTCGTATGTTGCAGCCTGAGAGCTCTAACCAGTTTCCTTTGATGACCAGGCCTCGGTGTCCATCATGGTGTGCGTCTCCTTTCTCCACCAGTATTTTTCAGCTTGCATGCTCTACAGGCATCGATAATTTTGTTCGTTGCATCGTTAATGAATGTGTAGAGCTCGTCCACGCTCTCAATCAAGTTAGGATCACAGCTATCCATAAGATTCTTAAGTCTAATTCTAAGGTCAATCCAATTTAACAGCTTGAATTTGATGTTACCACTTGTACCAGTCTTATCCAGGGTAGTCCTCAACTCAACTGTGATTAACGCGTGGTCCGAGCAAGCATCATAAACCTTGAAATTCCCCAGGTTATGAACATTGGTAGCAAAAACATCAATACAACTTTGCCCTATAACAGAGTTGAATGTTGGTGGACCAATAGGATTGTTGAGGACCTTTAAGTTGTGGGTATTAAAGAAGTCCAAGAGTCTTTCACCTCGAGCATCCGACCTTGGAATCCCACACTGTGGACTTAGCGTTAAAGTCGCCGGCAATAATAATTTTGGCCGCAGAAACTCTAGTTAACAAAGCGTCCAAGGTGGTAAAATTTTCAGAGGAATCCTCGTTCGGTGAAAGATAAGTGGAGACCAGGACAAAGCTAGACTCGTTGATATGAAAAGAGACTGCCACTATGTCTCTTTCATTGATAATTGGAAACACTCTCTTAATTCTTGTGTTGGTGAGAATCGCGGCTCTAGGCCTGTCCCTGGCAGCACGCATAGTCCAAATTGCTGAAAAGCCAGTGATAATATCATCGTGATTGTTATAGGGTTCATTCAGGCTCATAATATTAATATCAAGTTGAAGAGCATCTTCTCCTAATTGTAAGGTCGCTTCAACAGAATGATGCAAGTTAAAGTGTCCCAGTATAAAATTGTAATTATCTTTAGTAACCATAGTCAGTTCTTTTTGATACGCATTGTTGGGCTCTAGCATATTGCGTGCATGTTCTGTTGAAAGGGGAATGATTGGTATCAATATCTAAACCAAATTTTCGATCAGCAGTATCACAGTGCACACAGAAATAGTCGTTTCCGCAGTGATCTCCTACACGATCACCAGAAGAGCAGTTTCTACAGATCTTCTCGGCTTAGCGGAATTTGGCCAGGTGTTCAATGGCAGCACACCTATACCACTGCCTGACATTTAGCGATTCCTCAAATCTATATCGCTTCCACTTCAAATTTAACTTATCTCTATATCTTAGTTTATTAAAGGTCTCCGGCTTCACCTCCAACAACCAGTTTTTCTTTCCGTTCCTTGGTTTGTGCGACGTTTTCTCCCTCACTTCCTCTCCCTCTAATTCAATATTCTGTCTAGTGAGACCCTCTATTAGTTCTTGCTCATCAATCTCATCATCAACACCAAAAAATGATGATAGTGGGTGGCCTAAGTTTGGGGGGGGTCCCAAAGTGTATTTTTCTGTTAGTCCCTTTATCCGCATCTCATCATATTTTTTTCAAGATCATCCGCCGTCTCAGTTTGGATTAGAACCCCTCCATAGTTAATATTTGATATTCGCTTGATGCCGATGCGCAAAGTGGTGAGTCCAATCCATGAAGCAGATCTAAGTCTTATCAGATGTAATCCCTTCAACAGTAGGTCTCATTATGGCAATATGTTCTTTAGTTTGTTCTCCATGCATAAACTGTCGACTTCTACCCCTCTTGACTATATCCGCATATGACCGGCTTGCCACTTCATTTCTCTTACAATTTCACTCTATTATAGGATCCAACACTGTCTTGTTCAGCTCTTGGAAACTGTCAAGCTTGAACTGAAGTAGGGCAATTTGTGTCTCCTGTTTAGCAGTAAGAACAATCGGTTCAGTCAACAGACCCATAATTGCATCCCTATCAGCCATCAGCCTTTATCATTCTATTCTCTTCATTTAGAATAATTGATTGGTCCTCCTCTTCCAGATCGACTGTTAGTACTTGTCCCGTGTCCGTCATCGTCAATTGGTAAACAAACAAACAATGAATCAGCTGGGCAATCAATCAATCAGTAACATGCAATCAGCGTAAATTGATCAAAATAGTCACTCATCAATCGCATGGATGTCAGCTAAATATTCAAAGAGTAAACAATACTCACTCGGATTTCGTTGACATAATTCAAAGCCGGTTGCTATGACGTCACCACAATCCTTAAGTAAACAATCAAGAAGTCACTCAAGTACTTGCATAATAAATATGATGGCAAAAAACAGCCTCTAAGCAATCAATTTCTTATAAACACAGCACTCAATGAAGAAGAAATCAGAAACAAAATAGTCAAGATTACTTTGTGATGTTGAGGATAATCAACGTGGCGAAATCCAGCGTCGCCATCTTGAAAACACTGCTAATTAATTAGTATATTCGAGGTCAACCATTCGAACCATTAAAATTGAATCCTAGAACGTGATGATCCGTTTCTTTTGGCCGCACTGCGCAACTAAAAATAATAAATGAGTAATTAAGGCGTTTTGGAGGATTAAAATAAAGTCGGCCTTACACGCCACTTAGTAAAATTAAATTCGAAGAAGCTTCTGGAAAATTCTATTCCTTCATTAACCCGCATACTTAACAAAAACAAGATCGGTTTCATTGAAGAATAACATCTATTATTTAAGTGAATTAAGGAATGACTGCTTTGAACCAAGAAAAGTCATTAATAATGGCACTTACAACAAATATTATTTGATTTCGTGCAAGTCATGGAGAATAGAATTATCAGAAAAATGAGGACGAAGCAGATTAAAGTAGGATCAGTTGAAATTTTAAAGAGTTTTCAGCGATTCTGATATTCTATAAGAAATAGGAATTTTTATTTTATAACCGACGTTGAACAGCAGACACAATTCTGAGTTCAGAACTATCATACTATCAATGCTCGTTTTCGCAATTAAGTAATTTTGAACCCAGGTCAAACATCGAAGACATATTAGGACTTTAGGAGGAACCAACCGGCATTTGCGCATCATGAATAGGAAAACCTCCCCTGTTTGGCTCGACGGCAATAAGGATTCTAAGCCATGACCTGTTTGCTACTGGAGATATTTTATGTCAGCACTGTGGTGGTCGGTGCGAACCCGAAGCATAATTCGTATCATTCCGCCACTGTTGAGATTCGAATTCTTTATCCCCAGAGCCACCGCGGCGCGAGCAAAAAGCCACTCCACAGGGAGAGACTGGAAAATACAGGGCATTTAAAAATCACCTAAAATAACAGAGAAAATGAAGGGAATTTTGATTTTTTTTTCTTTAGAAACTGGGAAAATACAGGGGATTTTGTTTATTTTTGTCTCTTAAAAAATGGTGATCACTCAAAGCGCAATCTGTGGAACATTTAACCATGATATGTCAGCTGTACTAAACTATTTCATTTACTATAGCATTATTGAGGTAAGTTCAGCTGTTTTTCCAGCAATTAAAACTAATAAATATAGCCCAATATAGCTCATACAGAGTTGTTTCCTTTTAATATATATTGTGTATAATAAGTATAGGGAATTGGGCTCTGTTCAGGGGTTGATCCAGATTTTAATATTTTGATGAAAAAAAAATACTTGGGTGAAAATTTCAATAATCATGTAAAATATTTAATTTTGACTGCTACTAACGTTTATTATCAAAATAGAAATAAACAGTAATTTGATAAATATTAATTTTAATTCTTTTTAGCTTATTAAAAGAAATCAACAGCCGACCAACCTGTGTAGGGNTTTGTTGAATTTTAGCATTTTTGAGGGGTCTTTTCGCATTTTGCGAAAAAAGCTACCGTAGCGGAAACCCTGGACCCGCCCTATAAACGGGTTGTGTGAATGGCGTGGCAGAAGTCGAATTCCTGGCCATAGATGCCGCCACTGAAAAAACAGGAACACTCGCACCCCCACTGCCTAAACAAGCATACGAAAAAAAGAAATCAACAGTAAAACTATAATAAAAATGATGTAAGCACAGCACGTAAGCGAAACCATTGCATAAGTGAAGCTTTTTCGAGGGGGGGGGGAGGACAATTCATATGAATTTAATTGTGAAAGGGGCGTATAATCGACACCTATTAATGGATATCAGCACTTTAAATGATGTATAAAAGTCGATATATTTGGGAAAGGTTTATAATGAGTTGTAATGTTCTAAATTGGAAATGAGACATAACACACTTTATTCATCACATAATCTTTTAATGTGGATTGACAGAATAAAATTCACATAAAGCTAAAATCTACCATTAACAATTTATAAATTTATCATTTCATTAGACTTGCTTTTTTCAATTTGTAATAAGCAGCAATTTTCCTTCATTGAAATTTCAATAAAAAGCAGGAAAAAAAAAAGAACGGTTATATTTTTTGACTAGAAAGCCACTCACCCAAGTAAAGCTTTCAGTACTTTAATATGGTCACACACATAAAACAACAAAAGTAAAATAAGAACATAAAAATAGAATTCATATACATAAAGTTTTGGTATGATGAAATACGTACAAATAGAATTCCTAAATAAAAAAAAACAGGAAAATAAAATTCCAATTAAAAATAATTAGAATTCCTAAAAAAAGAAAAATGGAATTTCTATGTAAAAAACAACATGAAAATAGAATATCCATCTAAAAAATTAGAATTCCTAAAAGAAAGGAATATGGAATTCCTGTATTAAAAAACAACATGAAAATAGAATACCAATCTAAAAAATTAGAATTCCTAAAAATAAAAAACGGAATATGGAATTCCTATATAAGAAAGAATAAAAAATTCCTGCTCATAATATTAGTGTAAATTGCTTTCTTTTCAATTTAATAATTGAAAACTAAAATTGAAACAGCAAATACATCCTTTATTACAGTCTACTCAAAGTTCTTTTTCAAAATACTTGATAATATAAAAAGAATAACAAGATTAAATGTGTTGCATAATAATTCTATTACATAATTACAGTTCTCATAGTTTGTATCTTCTATACATAGTGTTTATTTTTCAGTCATTCATTTATGGCGGTACATTTGAAAAAAAAAACAGGCCAAAATAGTTATATATTTGAATTTGATCTTACGAGAAATAGTACAAAGAACTGTCGAAGAAATGTATTCGTACAGCTTGTTCCCTTTTGCAGCAAGCAAAGCTTATAAAAGTGAGTTGAACCAGAAAGTAGTCTATTTTTATACAATTAACAACACAGTTGGTGGTTCATTCAATACATTTAACAAATTGAAAGTAGTAGTGTATAAAGGTCCCAGGTTACATTAAAAGAAATTTCTCAGAGAAAGATTTTATTTTATCTTTTTTAAGCTATACAACGTTGCAAAGTCTTTAAATTTTGAAGAACTTAGTAGATGAAGGCACTAAATGGCAGAATGGACTTTTCATTTGAAAATAACGAATTTGTAATAATTTGTTTCTCATGCACTATTTTTCAAAAAAAAAAATCACATTTTAGCACAGCAACTTCATGTATTTTAACAGCACACAATAACAACTTACAAAAGAAAGGTGTTTTTATTGAGAATGGGACCGTCGCCAACTTGGCGACAAAAGTCTTATTTACCTTCCCCCAGTTTCAAAGCTCTAGTAGATGCATCATGAAGTGAGATATACTATTAGAAGCTTGTCGACTTTCTTCCTACAAAAAGGAAGTGCAATGGACCATTTTGAATTTGATTGAAGCATCTTTTGTACATACAGAATCTCATAGTTTAATTTAAAGGAAAAATAGTGCAATCTGTCTTTTGGCAACAAAAGGAAAGTGGAAAGACTGCAAGAGCTACAACGTGAACACTTTAAATAGGTTTCAAGGATTTGTAGGTTTAACCAATCGGGAACTTACAGGGATAACCATTATATAAAATTTAAAGTCAATTTACTCAAGATCAATGTTACTTAGATCCTTTATACACTAAGAACTCAAATTGTTATAAAGAAAAATATATGATGAGAAAATCCAACATTACGTCCATCATACAAGGATTGTTATGTAAAGATATTAGCACATAAATTGCAAAAAGAAAAACACTTATTTCAGGCAATGGGTGGTTTTTTAAATGTAAAAGAAACCTGATCAGAAATTTCTTAACTTGTAAAAAACAACATTATGTTATACAACATTATGTCTATCTTACAAGGAATAGTTATGTTAAGAAATAGCACATAAATTTTAAAAAAAATCACTTTCTTCATGTGTGGTTTTTGAATGTAAAATAATACCTGATCTGAAATTTTTTTTATTTGTATTAAAATTAAATAAAGGTACAAAACGGACCCGAAATTAAACATTTATTTAAATACTTAACCGTGACGTTTATTAAAGTGAAAACATGTCTAGGCAGATTTACGGCAATCTGATTATTTTAATAATCTTGCGGGAAAAAAATAGTTTTTATAGCCCAATGAATTAAAAATCCGATATTAACATTATTTATCCAATATAGAAATTTTACAATATACATTCCTTATAAGCACACAAAATTCGAGCAACCATAAAAATATATATGAAACAACAATAACATCAAAAATACATTATAACTCATTTTTATCACCGAAACACTTATTGCGTTATGTACAGGGTGAAAAGAACGTTGATCAATATAAATTTAACATTCAACATAATCTATACAGATGCACAAAAAACAGACTATTACAATTTTTTAGTTGAAGTAAAAAGCACAGTATTTTAGTACAACCAGATAACTACTGCAATCAATTCTTCGTTTATTTCGTGTCTAAGCACCCAATTCTTTAGGTAGGTGATAATGCTTTGCCAGCAAAATAACATCAGTCGAAATCTCTCTCACGGTTACCATAATTGCATTTTTCATGTAAAACCTATCACAACTTATGCTTTTTTTCCTGGCAAAACATATACTACATTACTGAAAAAGAATAAATGGTCTTAACTGAAAGAATTTTACAAGTTGTACATAATTTTTACTCCACTGGCTTTCCATCAACAAAACGTGCATTCCAGAAGAAAAATTTATTCCACATATGCCTTTTTTTCCCATGTTTCTCCTGATGAAACATACAGTTTGCCATTAAAAATAAGGAAGTGTAATCAATCCGTGTAACCATAACATAGTTTTTCTTCTGGAATGCATGTTTTGTTGATGAAAAGTAAGAAAGAATAACGTAAAATTCTTTCAGTTAACAGTGAATACATGTGTACGACCATTCACACTTTTCTTGTAATGCATATCAATTAGTTCAAAAATTATGCTAATATAGTAGGTTTATTTTATTTTGAAAGCTATTTAGTTTTAAGAATTCCCATTTTGACTTAACCCTGTTTTTCGAAGCTCGGTCGCAAAGGAAAATAAAAAAGCCATAGATTAAGTACTCACACAATGTGATGATTTTAAACTATGTATATAATTTTGTAGTGCAAAATTATCTAGGCTTTTTTAGAACAGACAAAAAACTTAAATATTTTAAAAGTTATTATACTTTTTCAAAAATCCCTAATTTGGCAACTTTCCCACCTAAATGAAAATTATCAAAATCACTGCCTTATTCTTAGTTTTCGCAAATTTGCATGAGCCCAGATAATGCAGCATTGGAGTAAGTTTTTAAATAATAAAAAATTAGACCAAAACGTTTTTCATTTTCACAAAACTGTGGAGTTTCTCCATACTGACGTTTTGCACCATTTTCAAAATAACATCGCTGGCCTCATATAGGCTAAACTTGACCTAACTGCCTTGAGTAACAACTGCAATCTCACTGCAGTTAAATAGCATATTATTCGCAAAAATGCCTAATTTCATATTACGACAGAGCTTTCAAAAAACAGCCTTAAGCAAAAAATCAACAAACAAAATCAGAATTCATCTTTTTATAAATTATCTTCATAATAATGTAATTATAAACAATTTACTACAAAATGAAAATACCAAATGAAAGCAGTTTTATTATAATTTCCCTAACTATGAGTTTAAGCAATGACAATTTTTTATCAACATTTTGGATGAACTGATGATGAGTATGATGACAAATAAAGGTTAATTTATTATTTTACAAATATCAATGTTTTTTTTAAAAAATTTAATTTATGTAGAGTAAGTTGACAGTTATACTCTGTTATTAGTTGTTTTACACAGCTTAACATGAAAATTTACTAAATGCATAATTTAACAAAAATAATCAATAAAATAAAGAGGAAGAAATAAATATCAGTGTTATGTGTTTTAATGCTTTGGCGCTTTAAGTGCATTGAATAACCTTAAACGAACTAATTATACGGATTTTATTAAAATTTTATACATATTTTTAATAAATACTTACACAGATTAAATAAAAAAGTTAGGTGAATCATTGTTCGATATTAATTTTAAAAAATTTGGTGTTTTTATTCACTTTAAATTGACTATTTTTGGAATAAATATTACTTGTTATCACAAAAAATTAATGTTTCAACTTATATATAGTAGTTGAATGCATTCATACTAGCACTAGAGTTTTTTCCTCATAAAATCAGCTTAAATAACTGTTTGCAAAAGAATATCTTACAACAATATCTAAAATACCTTTTACACAAAAACAAAAGTTATTGACAACAAAATCAAATAAAATTACTCTTATTTTGTTAAAAAAAAATTTCAACATGCAATCTTTCTATTTTATGTAAAATAAATGTATTCAAGTCTTCAATAGATTGCGTCATGAGCAAGTTGCAATGACTGCCATTCACCGAATTGACTGTGCAAAATGTGTAAAATAATATATAATATTAAATTGACCCGTATTTTTTTAAAGTACTTTTTAATAAGAATTTGTTCATAAACACACAAAATATTCAAGGAATGTTGTAAATTATAAACACAAATTTGCACTAACATGATTACAATTTTATGATTAACAATAATTATATTTCTTTCATTACATTAATTTGTCCCAATTTTCTTTACAACAACAACAACAACACAGTAGGACAAAGAATAGACTTCCAAGTTTGAAACCTGCATTTTACAACTCCAAAGCCTCATGGTGAGTTTTGAAAGAATTCTCTTTTTAAAGTGCACCTGTCCATTGTACTTGCATAATAGGTTTTGGATTCACAAAAGATAGCTCAATTAATGTCTTCAATGCATGCTTGAAAATAGCGAAACATAAATGCAAAACAATAAAGACAGTTCTCTAAAAGTAAAACATCACAATGTTCAAATATTATTATCTTAGCTTTCATTTTCATTTTGGTCTTCTCCTAAATATACAGTCCTATACTGTTTCTTCTGAAAAGAGATAAATAAGGAAAATGTAATCATTCAATTTGATAGCATTAATAGTACAGATATTTTTATTGTATTTCAACATTATATCTTGTAACTGCAAGGTGTGGCTAATAGTTTCCGATCTATTACACCCGAAAATATTATTGTGAATTACATACCAATTAAAAATGTTTTGAAGTAACTTGCAATGAACTTCTGTACAGAGCTGTAAATGCTTCAGAAACAACTTTTTATGTTTTCTTAAGGAATGCGCTTTCCTGATGATCTTGTAATCATCATGCAAATCAGTGCATCTGTAAATGTTTCAGGAAAAACTTTTAAGGCTCTCTTAAAGAATGCTCTTTCCGCGCAATATTGTAATTATCATGCACTTCTGTGCTCAGCTGTAAATGTTTCAGGAAAAACTTTTAAGGTTCTCTTAAAGAATGCTCTTTCCTCGTAATATTGTAATTATCATGCACTTCTGTGCTCAGCTGTAAATGTTTCAGGAAAAACTTCCAATGTTCTCTAAAGGAATGCTCTTTCCAGGTGATCTTGATGTCTACTCGACATTTTCAAAGCTTGTTCTTTTTGAAAATATTTCAGCTTCAGAAGCAAAAAGTTTGCAAGAGGTTTGTCCAAGGAGTATGTTGAACGATTCTTTTCCAGGAAATCAAAAAATTTGATATAGGAACATGGTTTAAAGTTGCTCAAAGTTATTAAATTAAGAGAACATTAGCATCAAAAATTGAGAGTATTACCAACAAAGACTTAAAAATTGTTTCTGAAATTTTAAAATCCAAGTAAGGAGATACATTTTGGCAGGTGGAGGTTACTTCGAAGTTCATTGAATAGGTATTTTGTTTACACAATATTTCCGTGAAATACTAAATCAGCCCTGGAAATCAATAGCCACACCTTACTGTTTAACTGAAAGTTTAATATTAATAATATACTTACTCAATATTAAACTAAACAAGAAAAAGATGAAAAACATAAAATATATTTTACTAACTAATTAATCAGTAGTTTCATTTAACTGGGTTCTCAAAAAAAAAAAAAAACATTTGTTCCCCAGTGTAAGTTTTTAGAGTTACAAAATATATCTAGTTTATAATTTTGAAAATCAAAACAAACTGTTTATTTAAATTGGTAATTCAATGCAAATACCTAAATTTGTAAACATATTTTTTTCAGTGTTTTAGAATGAAATTTGAATATTACAGAGCATTAGTGAGAAAATTATTAACATGTGAATATTAAGTGAGAGTGCTATTTACATACAGGATACCTTACTTTCGGACAAGAAGAAGAATATTGTGAATCACATTGCAATAAGATTTTTAATAACAAAAATTAAGCTGGGAAAAAATTGATAAAATAAATTATCATGCATACTAAAAGAAAATCAATCAATAAAAAAAGCTTATGTGCAAGCACTAATATTATTTAATGAATCATACAAAATACATTTTAGCCCAATTGAAAAAGTTTTTAGATAGTATCTGAACTTGAGTTGAATGAAACTTTAAAGTGCTTAGTTACAACTATTTTACAATTTTTTAAAGCTATAAGAATTAAAGAATTTATCGACGTAAAATGCTGACTAGCACAACCCATTTTGAACATGACAGAAAAAGCATGTAAGTGAACTGTTGATGAGAAGTTAACATCGCTAAATTTAAGTTCGCAACATTGACTATAGTCAACTCAAAACTATATTTCAAATGAAAAATACAGCAATAAGAATACAGCCCTCTCAAATAAGAATTGTTCAAAATTGTTGAAGAACTAGAGCTGGCGAAGTGCAAGCATTGATTTTTTTTTATAAAGAGATTCGATAAGAACTATACCTTGAAGAATGGACGGTATTGGGTTCGAAGACCTACACTGGCATCAATTAGCAGGTGTCCAAGAGCCTTCCAGGGCCTCAGTTTCCTCCCACTCAAACTCCTGAACGAACATTTTAAATAAATGTTTTCACCTCGCATAATAAAAATAGGTTCATTTTATATGGAACAAAAAATTATTACTTTAAAAAGCAAAAATTTTATTTTCAAAATAAGACCTAATAATAAAAATAAAATAAGTCAGGATGTGTTATGCTTTTTTGAATACAAACTATTAATGGTAGCTTTAGATTTTCAAAGACAAAAAAATTTTTTTGTAAAAAATAAATATTTTTTTTTAACTGTTAATATGGTTTTTTTTGAAAAGTAAAAAATACAATCAGTTGGACCTCTATTTAACAAAATCACTAAATCCCGATAATAAGTTAGTTACAGAAAATCACCTTCTGAAATACTTAAACAACACAAAACAGGTCTAATATTCATAAACACTGGACATAATTAAAACAGAAATAGATACACCTTTATCTTGTAAACTAGTATCTACTATTTATTTTTATAAATCTTAACCATGAAATAAATCTGCATGAAAATCAAGAACAAAGCAAAACATCATCTAGGATCATGTTACATACATTTTCAACTAAAACTAATATTATAAAAGTAATTTTAACTAAATAATAACTTTCAACTAATATTATAAAAGTAAATTTAAGCATACATTACCACAAGCGTTCTTAAGTTTAATTGCTACTGATAAAATCCTCTACTTTTGTCTGAGTTTTTCGTTTGAAATGCAAACAAAAAGGGAAAGGGATTTTACTTTCTATAAAAACGATTTCAAAAATCAATTCAAGGTCATTTCCCAAATAAAATGAGTTAACAAGTTTGAAATGTTCTGAAATAAATTGGGAAATAAGGAAAGTGGATCTCAAAGAATAGTTCGTTAAATTGAAAATTCACTTTGCTATTTTGAAGATACTTTACGAGATTTCCAAAATGTTATTGGTTCCTCAAAAAAATCTCAAAGTAGAGAGATTCGCAAAATGGAAGTTCGTTAAATAGAAGTCCAACTGTATTTAATTTACCATAATGATGATTTTTCAATATAGTCACCATGTATTTCATTTAACGCAGAAGAGTCCTAATAAATTAAGTTTTGTATACTCCATGGAAAACTGACATCACATTAACTCTCAAATGGATTAAAACTTAAAAATAAATCTTTTTTAAATAATTTAGATCAGAATAACATAATTCAAAATAACTTTTTAATTGTATATTTTATTAAATCAAAGAATTAGAACTCAAAGGTAATAATGTGTTGTTATAGTAAAAAATATAATTTATAGGTAATTAAAGTCTAATAAATTGTTTTTAATTAAAGCTTATGGTAATAGTTTGCAGTATTTAAACTATAATTTCTTAATTGATTTTGAATGGCCAATTCCTAAATGGAAGTGAAAATCAGAACTTGATAATTTATATTATTAGAATAGTAATAGCAGAATTGTTAGTTTGAAGAGTTGGTGACAAAAGGAGAAAAAGCTTTTTAACAGTTAAGGGAAAAAGTGTTTCTATAAAAGTACTTATAATATTTCTTAATTTTATTTCATTTATAAATTACTCAAAACAAAACTGTAAGCTAAAAAACTAGACTGTGTGGAAAAAAAAGTTGAAACTTCTCATAACTAAAACTCAATACACGATTTAATCAATATTTCAAGTAAGCTCTAATGTTTTCATTTCAAATAAACTTTAAAAAATTTATACGCTAACATTTCCGTAAAAAATATTAAAAAAAAACAAATATTTATAATTTTAATATAAAATTAAGAAATTAGATCATTGCATATGCTTAAACCAAAAATTATTAGTAAGCAACCAATTTAAATTTTAAAAAAAAGTCAGAAATGCGAACAAATAAAATAAAATTCTATTCAAGAGAAGAAAAAAAAACTAATAAAGCCAACATAATGAATCAAACAGATCAGACATTTAACATTAAAAAAACAAACATAGGACTTATCATTAATCAACATACAGATACCTACAGACCTAGCATAAAATATTTAAAATAAGTATTAATACTATAATTCAAGATATGAGTTTGAAATGAGAAAACTTTTGTCGTACTTTATTATTTCCTATTCTTATTGTGCGAAATTTCCCAAAATCCAGCAAAGATTTCTTTAAAGGTTTCTTCTCATCGCTGAATTCAACTCCAACACTTTGCTCTTCCTCATCCCCTTCAATGCCGCAACTCTCAACAGCGGGAAGTTCGCCATCCTTGGAAGAACTGGATTGGATCAACTTCATGTACTTAAATTCTAATCTGAAAAAGGAATGAATTGAATTCAGTCTAAATTTCACGTAAATATAAAAATTTCTTTTTTGCATTCTACGTTCAAAATAACGACCCTCATGTTCCAGGGTGAAAATGGATGTTATATCAAAAGAGGTTCAAAATTACAGGGAAAAATTTAGGGCTACGGAGTAGCCGTAAACTAAAAAAATTGGGTCAGTTGTTCAATCACGGTTATAATATAGTGAAACTTTGTGTGAATTTTCTTTATGCAGCTTCCTATCCATCACACAAAAAAAGGTTTGAGTGTATTATAAAAGATTTGAAACAATAAATTTCATCACTTATCAATTTAATAAAAAAATTAAGAGCATTTCTCACAAGCTAAACTAATTTGTTTGACATTATTAAGGCAAATATTAAACTAAGCACATTATTAATAAGTTTATGCATTTAATGATTACCTACAGAGGAAGACTGATTTAAATTTAGTTATCTTAGGGTGAAGAAACTCAATTTCTTACTTTCTATTTTTCTTCCAGAAATAAACAACCATGACGAGGAGAAGTACGCCAAGTCCAACTCCAGCCCCAATGACAAGTTGCAGTTGCTTTGGAATCATGGTGCAAGGAATAGTTTTCCTGAAGGTATCCTCTGGCGAACCATTGGGTAATATGCAGCCTTGAGGAGAAATGTAATGGAGAGTTTGCTTACCATTTAAACACTCTCCACGCACAATCTAAAAACAGTAAAACTTTTCATCAGAATTTCAAATGTACACAATAACGATTGCATAAATAAATGGTTGGAGCAAGAATCTTTCCAGCATTACAACTAAAAACAGTTATATACATATAGATATAGCTAAATTAAATTCTAGCACACAAGGGAATTAATAAAAGGTTTCAGCGTATCTGACTTTCTTTATAGAAATATGGAATTAACAATAAAAAAACAGACTTAATTAACTTATCACTAAACTTTGTAAAAAAATTTGAGGGGGTGGGGCATAATTTGAAAGCAAGATGCAAGACAAATTTTAAACTAAGCATATTACTAATTTGTAGTTAATGAGTTTAATGATTACCTATAGAGGAACACTGATTTAAATTTTGTTATCTTAAAGTGAAGAAACTCAATTGATTGAAGATTACTCAGGATTATTGTCTCAAAATTTCTAGTTATTTTAATTAAAAATGGATAGTTATGTAGCATTATAATTACTAGAGTAACTTTAAGTGAGGGTGCAACTTTTAACTTCAAAAGCCATTCTCTTTTTTTTTTTAAATCGATGACAAAACGCACCAATACATTCAATTTTTCTAAATTTTGTTTCATCACATAGCACTACTTTCTTTAATACCTAATCCTTCAGTTTTCCTATCTAATTCTAACTTTTTTCATAGTTTACTACTTTTACTTTACAACTTTTGGAGTGGAAAATATGTACCAAAAGATGGCTATTTTGTAAAAAATATTTTACTCTTTAACCAAAAAATAAGGAACTAGGTTTTATTATTAATAAAATCTTGGTAAAGTTACAGATTTCAGATAATTTTTATGGCACCCAGAATTGTACCAGCAAATTAAAATTTTAATTCACCTTTGTCTAGAAGTGACCTTTTTAAATGAAAGATTTCCAATTTTTCCTTTGAAAAATTTATTTTAAGACTTCATGATATTATTAAGATTTGTATAAAAACATATCGAAAAATATTTATTTTTCAATGAAAAAATATATACAAAAATAAGTTCAGTTTTTTCCTTTTTTACCTAAAAATTATAATCCTGAGATTTGAGCACAACCTGTCTAGAATATCCGAAAACCTCAAAACTGCCTAATTCAGATTTAAAAGCTTTATCTACAGTGCTTGATATTTTTTAATGTAAAATATATTACAAAACACTTAGATGTTAAATCGAATTAAATGAACATTCTTGTAACATTTCAACAACAAAAAAAAAAAAACTACCACTTTTATTAAGCCAGCCTGATATATTGGAAATATTTTTTCACCAGGATTTCTGAGAGTTCTTACCCAACAACTCTTTTTTAAAGCTATTCGTAAAAATTTATCTAATAATTGACTTTGCTTTTTGGAATGAACCTCATCTCTGTTACAAAGATATCCCTTAAAATTAAAATAATTTAAGAAAGAACTTCTTCATTGTTACAATATTATCCACTACAATTAATGTAATTTCAAAAAGAGCTTCATCATTGTTACAATATTATCTCTTATAATTAATGTAATTTACGAAAGAACTTCATCTTTGTTGCAATGTTACCCTTTACAATTAATATAATTTAAGAAAGAACTTCATCATTGTTGCAATATTATCCCTTACAATTAATGTAAAAGAAGGAACTTCATCTTTGTTAAAATATTACCCCTTACAATTAATATAATTCAAGAAATAACTTAATCATTGTTGCAATGATTACAATATAAGAAAGAACAATAGTGCGCCTTACAATTAAAATAACTTGAGAAAGAACTTCATCATACTTACAATGTTATCCTGACAATTAATATAATTCAAGAATTAATTTCAGTTGAACTAACTACAATTTATCAAAGTTCTTACTTGGTAGTCACTTTCAGTGCATACTCTGCATGCAAGCCTTGTTTTCCACAAGAAATGGAAATTGCAACCGTTGCATGTACCATCAGAGCATGAAGATGGGGGTGAAATGACACCATTTCCTTCCATGGTGCTATCACATCTCAGTGTTATGGTGGTGGTCCTACCCTCACTGCAAGCTTGCGTCTTTCTAAAAGAAAGAAGGGAGAGAATTTGAGATTATTCAAAACTTCTTGACAAAGCCTAATTATTTTGTGGCATAGCCAGGGAGGTCTATGGTATTTCAACTACTCTAAAAAACGGATGAAAATTAACAATTAATACACGAAATATTTTTTCGTTATTTTATTGAAAAAAACTTGAAAGAGAGACATGCGGAATAACTAGAGATTTTCAATGAATAATTTTCTTTGAGGATTGCAGTCTGAATTCTTGTTATGGTGCAATAAGTGTACCAGAGGAGTCCATTGTGTCTGGAACCTCCAAAATAAGTAAGAAAATAAACAGTTAATATACGAAAAAATTCTAAGAAAAAGAAAGGCATGCAGAATAACAAGGGATTTTCTATGAATAATTTTCTTCGTCGACTGAACCGAAGCGATAAGTGAACCCCAAAGAACTGAACACTGCCAATTTAATACAAGCGTTGTCATCTTGCGATGAAATTTTTTACTTTTTAAAAATTAGGCTATTAAAAATTCAGCATAACACACAGCTTCTGTTACAACATGTTGAAATAGGAAGTGCGTTCGTGTTTAAATAGGATTAAAACACAACTGAGGGGAAAAAATTAGCCAAGGTAGATTGATAGGATTAGCTTAATTATCCGTGTACCATGAAGATAAATATGTAATTTTGGACGAGATCCCTAACAAAATGGCATCGTCTAACAGAAATATCTCATTGTAATTTTATTTTCATTTAGCCTCATTTAAACTGAAACTTTAATTTAAATATCTTCAAAATTATAAATTGCATCATAATAAAATTTAAAATAGATTTTCATGCTTAAATTGTATTTTGTTTATTTTTGATCTTCATCTTAACCAAAATTTCATAACTCCCAAATGAAATCTCGGCTATGCCACTGCAATCATTGAAACATAAAGTGAAAAAAACAAATTATAAAAATTAAAGCGGAATTCATATTTATTTCTAAATATAATTTCTAGACAAAAACACTTCTCATACGGATTAGGCAAATTAACTAATATCTTTCCAATCAAAATCAGTCATAGTTGAAACTTACTGTTCTACTAAATTGTTTGCTATTCAGTAACATGATTGTACACTTCAGAACAGTCTAGTACGATTTTGCAGAAATTTGGCTCCTTTAATTGTTCTGCTTGGAGAACAAATTATGTTATATAAATAATATAGATCTAGTCGAAACCAGAGTCGGCTGTTCAACGACGGTTATTAAACAAAATTTATAAAAAATTAATTTTATTAATAGCTTTTAATTAATAGCAGTAATATGTTTTTTTATGAGCATTTAAAAAATTATCAGTAATAGCTTTGTTTTTTTTATTTATGCAACAATCATGTATAAACACATTCATGAAGGAGAATGGAAAAAAAACTTTATTATAAAAACATATATTTCTAAAAATAATTTACGTATTACTATAATAAATAAACACTTTCAGGTCATCATGATAAATTAAAACTATTGTAAGTAAAAAAAAAAAGTATCGATAAAACTTATCAGATGCTTTTGAAAAAGACATTTGTTTCAAATATAAGAAAAAAATAAAAATAGATTTGCAGTAGAACCCTGATTATCCGAAATCCGATTATCCAATCCTTCGGTTATGCAATACCTTTTTGAACAAAAGTTTCATCATTATTACCGCTGTTGTTATCCAATTAGTGATTAATTTTTGTGTCACTAAACCAACATTTAATTAAATTCAGTTCAATCCAAATACTAATGATACGCACAGTTCTGAAGTTTCCATGCTAGAAAACAACATCAGGGATGTTTAAGCTGGTGTCACCATACTTTCCTGTCTACTGAAAGTTTATCAATGACCAATCAGCTACTGTTAGTAACTAATTGGAATAAGTTTAATTTCAAAGTAAAATAGTGTAAACAAACTGGTGTTGGATAATCAAGTTTCTACTGTACTTGTTTTTTGTAACTTACTCAGTCGAAGAATAAAAGAAATGGATATCTGACTGTCCTTCAGCACCTAAAAATAAATTTCAGAGAAAAGAAAGAAATATATTTAACACCCAATTCTTTTATTTATGAACAAATATATGTGGAGAGAAATGTATGCACTCAAAATAATGAAGCTATTGTAACGTACGTTGAAAAAAAAGTACTAATATTTAAACTAATAAATTGAAGTTTGTTTATTTTATAAGAAATATATCAAGCTTTTTATATTTCTTATAAACATGCTTAAAATGTATATATACAAACACATAGTCAAACCACAACAATGTTAAATCGAAAGGGGATAGAAAATCTGTTCATATTTTCAGTTCAGAAATATTTTGATGAAAAATGTACAATGCAAAGATATTTTCCATCACTCTGTTAGAAATTTTTAATCTTAAACTTTTATTATGAATACGTAAATTAATATATATTTTGTTTTAATAAATGTATTTTGCACTTTATATTAAATTAATAACTTCTATACAACTCGTAATAAAAAATATAACCAATTACATTAAAAATAAAATATATATGATAAAGGAAGTGAGAAATATTACATTTGAGACGAATTTTAAAAAGTACTAACTTTTGGTGCTCTATTTTTTTTAATTCTCTAGCATCAAATAAAAATTTACCGAAAAGTAACGAACTAATAGGAGTAAACTGATTTGTAGCACAAATGAGTGATGATTACTAAGAAAATAATCGCTAATAGCTCGTTATTTTGGTTTCTTATTCACACATATTTTCCAAAAGGCATCTAACATATCAACTGTATCCAAAATTGAAATTAATTTTCATTTTGCATTAGAAAAGAACAAACCTATTTAATTGCTTCGGAAGCATCCACCAAAAGAACAAAGATCACCCATATTCAACAAAGGATCCATATGGGTGATCATATCTCAGGAAAACATGCTCTTTTTTACATTCAAACTCACGAGGCATTCCGATGAAGTAAAAGAAAACTCTATTCATATTAGAGTAGAAAAGGGTTTATGCAGTTTCCCCTGAATTTTTCAATTCATACAACTCTTATTTGACTGCTGCAATGTTGTAGTTATAATCATTTAATAAACTTACTTTTATAGATATAGAACTGTAAATAATCAGTTTTTCTTTACCTGTCAGGGGGAAATAAATTTTCTGCGCACATTAAATGTAATATTTATTCCAAGGGGAATGAAATTTGAGTTCACTTTAAAGATATTTCAGGTCAAACGTATTCGCGTTAAAAATACAATAATGTATTATATAAGTACATAATTTGATGCAAAATCAATAATAAGTTTATATTAAGCATGTCCCTCCAAAAACAGTCTTAACGAAACATAGAAAATAAAAACATGTATGCATATCTAAAATATTGCACAATGTTGTTGCCAATATTTTAAGAACATGATATTTATGACATTTAGTAACATTTTTGTTAAGATTGTTTAAAAGATCAATATCGTCAAATTTCCACATAATATGATTGGTTTAGCAACATACATAAAATTTTCACAAAGAGCTATACAATACACCAAAAACTAGGTTTCTTGAGACTTTGAGAAAACATCATATTTAAAAAAAACATTAATTTTTATAGTATATGTAAGAGGCGAAAATCAGAGCAGTTTAAAATTTTTTTAAAAAATAAAAAAAAAAACATTTATGATGATAAGACATTTGATGGCAAACATTTATGATGGTTATGATGTTAAAAAATAAAATAAAAATAATAATAAAAAAAAGATAGCAAAAATAATTCAAAAGCATATTTTTAAACCTGACAAGAAATATAAAAATATTTACCGTTTTAAACAATGCTTAAAAGATGAATTGTCATATGATGACCCATGATATGATGATTATTATATGGACTAAGTAAGTGAACCACAATAAATATAAGTTAAACCACACACAAAAAAATTTAATGCAATTTTATAAAGAAATGGTATACATTCAACTCTACAATTTATTCATTCAATAAATATATATTATAGCATTATATTGTTGTACAAAAAGATGTATAAATTTAAAAAAAAAATGGAAATGCTGAAAGTGTAAAATTATGAGATCAAAATAATAAAGATAATCATAAATTCAATAAGAATACAGAAACAGTGTTGTTTAAACTACTCACTTTCAACAAATATATATTAAATTATGGCACTATAATGTTTAAATTTTAAAAACAATTAGAAAGACTGAAAGATTAAAGTTATGGGATGGAGATAATAAATCACTCACTTTCAACAAATTCGTCTACAACTTCGATATTCCCCAGTTTGTGCTTAGTAGTAATACCAACTAATGTGTCGCCAAGGCTATAATAAAATACATTAAATACAATTCAATCACTGTGCCAATCATACATGATTTATTTTAAAGAAAAGTGTCAGTTTGATATTGGATCATAAAAAACACCACAAAGAGAAAATGTTTTACCTTACTGATTGTGTTACCAGGGGGTCTCGGCTTTCACTACTTTGTGATGGTACAACAGTAGCGCGGCATATGAAAGAATTTACCATTTCTTCTGTTTGTGGATCCAAGGACTATAACAATAAAGTGATAAACATATTAAACATTATCAGTTTGAAGGTGATAATTATACTTTTGAAACAGATGAAAAATATTAAGAAGGATTAGTTATTAAATAACGCACGAAAAAATTTTCTTCCGTTTTCTGATCTGAGCATTATAACAATAAAGTGATAAATGCATTTAATGTAAACAAATCAAAATACTATAACTAATTAGTAATGAGATGAAATTTGCTCACAAGAGCTTCCCTTTATTATACAGTAAAAGATCCTTATAAAGCAAACCTAAAAATATGAGGTTTTGTGTTATATAGATCACATATTTTTAAACTTACCTATTAAACATGATTAAAAATTGGCAGATTAAAGATTAGTCTGGAACAGAAAAAGCTTAAAATGCTTTAAAATAATTTTTAGATACAAATACTTAAAAATGTTAATATATTCCTTAAAGTAATTATTATTTAAAGGAAAAAAATCAACATAAGTTCAAGTTTATAACCAATTCTTAAGAGTAGGTTGAAATTTGAAAATCTCATCCACCTTTTTACCACTTTTATAAAAATTAATTTTAGGTAATAAGCTAAATTAATTTCTTTTTAAATATCAACCCCTTAATCCCAAAATTGTCTTATAAAATGTTAAATAAACAGTAAGAAATATTGTTTTTTTTTAAAATTTACGATTCATTTTTGATTTAAAAAAAAGAAGTTTTGAGTTGATTTAGGTTGCATATTTGTGACTTTAACTAACAGTTGATAGTAAGCATTAAACTAATAGTTGATTTAAACTTTATAACTAATGAAAAAAAAATGGAGAATACTAAGGCCAAAAAAATTACATTAAGTAAATGTATTTTTAATTAGTACATGGACTTGATAGCAGGAATCCTTCAGCACTGCAGATTATTTTTCATCTCAGATTTAAAAAACAAGCCTAAATTAATACTGAGAAGAGAGAAAAATTAAATTCTTAAACTTACTCCTCAATTACATTTTGTTTCAGGTAACAAAATTTGTTTAGCAATGTACTTCATTTAAAATTTTTAATTAAAGGAATTTTGAAACATAAAGAATGCCATTTTTCAAATTTCACTTATTTCATTCATTCAAAAGTGTATAAAAACGTTAAAAAAATTAAAAAATTTTAACAAAATTTTTTGTACATAATTGTTGCTCCACACTTTAGATTAAGAACAATAAATTTTTTTTAGACTAATTTAAGAACGTATCGTCTCTTTTTGTCAGTGATGGGCGGGATGACAAATTTTAATTGATGAAGATACTGATGCAGATTGACACAGTAAATTCTGCGAACAGGGACATGGATAAATACAGGGTATCTCGTTTTTGTACCACAACTATTCAATTCCCATTCACTTATACACAATACATGTTTACTTGTTTCAATCTTGCTGTACCTTTTGGTAGATGACGGTTAACATTACACCCACGCTTTCTGGATTATTATAACTCTCTTACTCTTTCCAGATTATATTTTAAATACTCTTTCCAAATACTAAATAGCTCTTTATTTGTAGATTGGTAAAATACTTGGTACTTTACATTAATAAAATATTAGTAAAGGTTTTTTGAGTACTTACATGATAGGTTACATTGTTTTTGCACATAGCTACTGGTTTACCACTTGAACCACATAAAGAAATGTTGAACACATGAAAATACTGAGTACCACTGGCGGTAAATAAGGGACTTCCCCTCACTTCGGTGAACCTGAAATGGTAACATTTTTTTATAAACTTAACGATAATTTCTACAAACACCTAATTTCTAAAAACTAGTTAACTATGTATGAAATGTACTGTCTGAGTAATGTAAATTTGTGCTGTCAATTAAATATGATTCAAAGATTATTACAGACAGAAGATTATTACTAAAAGATTATTACAAACAAATTCCAGGTTGATGATTTTTATATATATTTACAACGCAAGCTGCACTTGATAAATCAGAATTTTACATAACTTTTATCTTATTCATACATAACATATTGACGCTCTAACCCAATTCTTAATGTAAAAGAAAAAATTATCTTGCAAAAAATAAAAATCCCATTATATTTAGTAATAACTTTGCTTTAACATTTTTCAGAAAAAGAATGCACATTAAGTTTTTTCAGTTTAAAGTTCGTTTTTTAGTTTGCATTACTTTTTTTTAAATTAAAAAAATAGATTACATTACAAACCTTTTTTAAAAAAAGTAGCGTAGGGAGAAATGCAACACTATATAAAGGTTTAGTTACGAGTTTATAGCATTCCTAAAGAGAAAAAAATCGTTAAAAAAAATTTGCTCACTTATTATTCTAAGCCAACTTTAGCATTCATTCAACTTTTTTTTCCTTCCAATTTTGAATATTAGTGTAAATTGCTTCCACTGAAATTTGTCTCTTTAAAGTAGTTAAGTAGTGACTGCATTTCAAAAATACTTTGTAATGAAGTAGTAGTTAGCTATAAAAACATGCTTTTTTTAACCACTGCTAAAAGTAGGAAGGTTAATTTTAATTCATCTTACATTATGACCAGAAATTACAAACACAAATTGTTGTTAAATAATTAATGAAAAACATTGAAATTACAAAATAATAATTACAGTGATTCATTATGACTTAAAAGCAGATTCCTTACATGGGCAAAGTAGTTAAATCAAATATTGTTCCATCAAAAAGATAAACTCTGCAATCGCTGTAACATCTCTGTCCATCTTCACTTCTCAAGCCTGGTCCACAAGATTTGCAAGATTCTGGACCCTCAGGAACAGCTTTCCACAAGAAGGTATTGTAAGGGCATGGGAAGCATTCCAGACCATTGGAGTTCTTCATGTAATAACCTGGAGGGCATGGTATGCATCGATTCAACAACCTGCAAAAATTAGTATCATACTCTTAGATTATAAATATACACAAGGGCCATCACTAATGCAATCACTTGATTGTAAAATTAGCCACTATTTAAAATCAAACCAGTAAGAACAGAATCATTACAATATCAAAAATGTTAACAACACTTTTTAATAAAACATTATCATCACTTACTATCACCACTTAATCAAGCATACCCGCCAACTTTTATGATTTTAACAAAATTTTTTCGTGATATGCATGCTTTAATTTCTGATATGTTTTTTTAAACAATTTAAAATATTTATAACAACAAAGAAAAATAGAAAAATCATGTCGAATAACATCACTTTGCTGAATAACATAAAAACTTTTTTTTTTTAGCTTTTCCACTACCACTGTGAAAAATCTCTAGCAAAAAAATTTTACAAGTTGGCAGAAGTAATCTAGATTTCCCAAGCACATGATTTAACATGAAAAACAAATCATGCTACAGGTGAGAATCAGCTGCAAGTGAGGACTAAATTTCTTAGGGAAATTGAAGGCTCAGACTTAAAAAGGAATGAAAGAGAATCATTCATGTACAGAATCTTAATAGAATTTAAATGAAAACTGCAGATGAGTTAAAAAGCATTGCATCTTTCAAGGTCAATGATCATCACTTACTCCTTAACCTTCAGAAATAAGAAAAAATAAACCAAAGAATGGATCGAATAATTCAAACTTATCCCAACACTCGATGTAATGAGGCAAGTTACAAAAGCTTTTGCAAACCTTCATAAGGTAATGCCTGGACAATATTAGTCATCTGTCTTCCAATACAGAAAAAATAAAAGTTATTTCAATCTAACAAAAATTATTTTATTTCATTTTTCCTTAAAAAAAATTGCTGAATTTTAAATAGTTTTTTTTAAAAAAAAAAGTTAATTATTCTTTATTTAGAAATTAAAAATATTGATTTAAAAAAAGGCATAGCTCTATTTGTAAAGTAGGGAACCGATTATCCGGAACAATCGGGACCATCGCTATTCCGGATAACTGATTTTTCCGGTTTTGTGAATCGCTACAAAAAGCCGTGTTTTTTATTGTTGAACCCAACTAAAAAAAAAAATATATATTTGGAAACAATCTTAAAAATAAGAAAAAACGACTAAGTAATGCACTAATGAATATTTCCAAAATGATGGTAAGGTAAACATCTTTCAAAAAAAGAAAGAAAAATCCTAAAATCTTATGAGGAAAAAAATTTTAAAAAATGGCGGGAAAATTTATCGAATTTCATTCCGGTTTTTTGGTTTTCTGATTTCCGGATAACGGGTTCCCTACTGTACAATAAATAGTTACATTTTAGGCAACAATAAATTGTTTCCTAAATTGCACTAATCTAATGCTACACATTATTTCTTATTTCATTAAGTACTTCAGTATTATTTTAAATAAAGAGAAATGAATAAACAGATATCCAAAATAAAAATAAAAAACTAACATTTTACGATAGCAAAAATAGGTATAACTATGTTATTGAATGCAATATATCCAGTAACAGTAAAGCAAACATGAATAAAAATGAACACGCATCTACTATTTAGAAAAAGAATATTGTTATGCTTTGAAAATACCTGCATGTAAGAAGAACAGTTATATAAAATATGTAATATTTTGATAAGAAAAAAAAGATATATTATTTATTTTAAATGTATCCATATGCAATCCTCTCAGTTTAATTTTAAGCTTGCTTTTTAAATCTGGGAAGAAGAAGAATCTGCAGCGCTGAAAGATTTCTGCTAGCAGGTCCATTAACACATTACAATAAAAAAATTCTACCAACTATTAAAGTGTTTTGTTTATTTAAACTTGAAATTTATTGCGTTTAGTAAATATACTCTCAGTAATTTATTCCTTATAAGCACTATCAAAAAATTTGCTCTTGGTATTCAGCTTAAAAAGTATTTAGATGTATTTTTTCTAGATTAATATGGATCCAACTAATATTTCGTGCTTTTGCATTATTATTATTCCTTACTTACTCTACATTCTTTTTAAGCACTGCTTCAAAAAATAATAAAATCAGAACATTAATTGAATAATTAATTTCAAACTTAAACTGCAATAATTAATCAGAGCATTCAAGGCTTCTGTTAACTGGGAAATTATAGTCAACAGAACTTGCACTCTGAATAATTATTTATCCTTTAATTAGTACTATTAACCAATTTGCTTTGAGCTGTAATATCTTAACTAATTAATTTTTATAGTACTTAGTGATGAGTTCTTATATCATTTATGCTATTTCTTATCTTGTTCCTTCAAAGTTAACTGTAGAATGAAATATAACTGTAATTGCATTATATACAACTCAACTTGCATGTTCCTGGCAATCACGTCAAGATGTAACCAGTTCCACGAAAATCATATTTTCATTTTCAATAAACTTCAAGTCTATCTCATGAGAGTATTTCTCAGTACTATTAATACATAAAATAGATTACATGAGCATTCCGCAAAAAAAAATTTAGATGTAATTTTTAAAAATTAAAACAGATGAAACTGTTTATTCTTGCTTCCGTATTTATTACTATACCTTATTTCATATATATGCATTTAAAACAGTTATTCCTGTTTTTATTACTATATTTTTCTAACTAAAAAAATTTATTTAGTATACATAGTACCCGCAGTAGACTGATTGTTAAGACAACGTTCTTACCAACGTTCAGACCACCGAAGTTAAGCATCATTGGCAACGATCAGTGCGTGGGTGGGTGACCACTTTGATCAGCCTGCGAAGAGACAAAGAGTGGGGGCTATTGATCCTCGATAAACTGTTATACTGCAAAGTGCTCAAAATCGTGTTCAGGTTGTTGGGCTACCAAAGAAAGGGAGCCATTCCCTCCACAGAGGATTAAAATTGTGATAGCATGGCTTTAAAGCATCCTCAGGGATATTTCCCAGACCGTCGCCAATTACCCACTGCACTTACATCACACTCTAGTGTGATGTAAATAAAGTACTACTACAACTATTTATTCATTTCAAATATCAATTTGCAAAAAATTTAATTATAGATTTAAAAATAATTGAAAATAATTAATTATCAATTAAAAAAGTAATAATTAATCAGAACATTTAAGGTTATAACCATTTACAACAACAGTATAATAATAGGAGAAAAACATTTATAATAATTAGTTAGGAACTTAAATTTTTTAACCCAAAGCTATACTCCTTCACAAAAACAGTATGAAAGTAACATAGAAGTCATATCTAAATTTGATTTTTTTTCTCAATCATGGCCGTATGCAGATATTATGCATAAAAGTATGAAGTCAAAGTGCATCATTAAAAGGACCATGGAAGTCGCACTAAAATGTGAAATTGATCACAATATCATTGTGAACTTACCCTTGAGTCTCCATACCCTGTGGACATGGCTGGCATTCTGACGCTCCTCCTGAAATTGTATTCAGGACAGTTATGTCATAGATTTTGGCAACGTCATTTTGGATGCTTTCAATGGAGGCATTCTCCCCAATGCCTAATTTCTGGAACACCCAATTGAAAGTGTAACTATCGTCTGCAATAATGTCATAGCTACAATAACGTAATACAATATGTTAGAATGAGATAGAAATAAGTAAGCTTAAGAATAAAGAAAGAATAAAAAAGCTATGATTGATACCTAAAGTGCTGTTTTGCAGTTCGTCCACTCCAACTTTGAATTTCTGTCACTGGTTTACGATTTGAGCTCTGTATCAACAAGGAAACGTTTAGTTTAAAATAATAATTGAATGAAATAGATTACAGTACTAAACAAAAAGAATACAAACAGAAAAGTTATATTAAATAAATAAGATTTTTATAATTATTTTTCACCCCTTCAGAATCATGATCACATAAATCACACGATTCTCAATTGACGACCAACAATCTCTTGCTCGATGAGCCTTTCTGGCTCTAGCAGCCACAGATTTCATGAAAGTGACCTCAATTCGGTACTTTTGGAATAAATTCAGTATTTGTATCAATTCAATACACTTTGGATTGAATACTCTCAAAGTGTGCGGACCTAAAGCAGTCCTTAATGAGTAAAAGTGGTGGGTAAGGGTAAAGTCCTTAATGGGTTCCAATCCTAAATGGGTAAAAATTCAACTCAAAAATTTTTTGTTAAGAACATTCATTTTGGTGATTTACAACAGGATTAGATTTTTTTAAAATAAGTTTCCCTCTCTTAATCATTCTTTTATTATATGTTTTTATTCTAACTTTATTTTTGAAATATTAATTAAATTTTTTTTTATCATACCTCATGCCTAGTTGTGTAATATTTATGATAACACCTAATAAAAGTGGTTCAATATGACAATAAAAAGTATACATTAATGCTAATTTTTTCTAGTTTCTATAAATTCGAACTTTCAAATTATTTATTTATACTTCAAATAATGTATAACTAGGTAAAACAGAATTAACTTTTTTGACCGCTACTAAGGAGCAGTAAAATTTGTTTAACATTTTGAAAAATTTTATCAAATAATCTGAAATCAATAATCGGGAAACTTCATTTCATTTCGTAATAAAATCCAATTTTTTTTTACGCAACTTTATATTTAGTAATTAACTCTATGTATATTATTCGAAATTACTGAAAAACATTAAAAATATTTATTTTAACATATTTCAGGCTGAATAAGTCAAAATCGGATAGTGATAGAATATTTTTAGATAAGAATTTCGATTCTTTGCCCAGACTAATAACATTCTTTAAAAAATTATCATACTTCCTCTAACGCTAATTTTTATTGGTTATCATGTGAACAATGGATGAAAAATGCTTAAATTTTGAACAGCTAATACATTCTAATGACAATATGGAGTTGATATAATTTTTTAAGAAATAATAATTAAATGTATATAAATACTTAGGAAAAACATAAGCATCTAAATTATTAATAAGCATCAAGTCCCAGGAGGGATTGAAATTTCTCTGCAATGCACTACTTTTTGAAACAGGAAAAGCCCAGATGAATGTTCAGAAAATTATAGTAAATAGTTCGTATATTAGAGAAGTACTTACCATCATGAAAGCAAACACACAGGCTTGAGAGCATATCAACTCAAATGTGAAACTGATTGTCCCGATTTCGGCCACTTGACCATTAATTATTTTCTCTTTAGTCCTAAATCCGGGAACATCGAGCGACAGAATGAGGTATGCATCTATACTTTGTCCTGATGTTGTTCGAATATGGTCACCCGAAGGTTGCCATACAACGTTGGACATGCATCCTCCCTCTGAAACAATAAACATTATATAAGTGCATAAAAAGGTTTTCAGTTCATCGGAACATACTTTAGTTTTAAACAATAAGCGAACCAATTTCATTGTCTTCAAATTTTTATTATATGTCTTAAAACTTTAGGCCTTAATATACAATATGCCTTAATACTTCTTGGCATTAAAGAACAAGCATTAAAAAAAAAACTTAAACATTTAATATATTAAAAAATATTTTGACCAGAAATGAAGAATGTTTTAAAATTGTAACTCTAAGCAACCATGGCTGGCCGCTTTGAATTCTGCTTCTGACTAGCAACGATCACTGGGCTGACATAAAATATCTTCAGTGGTAGACTAATAGAATGGGTTTTCTTTCCATGTAATGCAAATGCATGTGAGTTCCATTAAAAAGTCTTGCTTCTAACTACTAGTTCTGTCTAATCTTGTCTAGTTTATTTCTACAACTTAACACAAGAGTTTCCTTGTCTTCTGAATTAAGTTCAAAATTGCAAGGCTACAGAGTTGAACGTTGTGAACTAAAATCTGGATTGCCTGTTCTAAAATAAAATAGTAATCACATCAAACTCGTTTTGATAAGACATGTTAAAATTGCCATCATTTTTCCTTGCATTATTGTATGGCCTTTCAATAAATTACTTATTTGAAAGGTTATCAGTTTTGGAATAGTTAAGCAAAGCCATTAAACAGAGACAAAAAATTTGTTACTCTTTCAGAATTCTTGTATGATATAGAGATGTATATAAAAATTATAAATATGATTTTAAAATTAAAATATTATTATTTAAAAATATTGGATGACAATTACAAGGTGCAGCCATCAATTTTCAGGAGTGGTTTAATAACTTCAGAAAATATTTGAAATGTTTTGAAGTAGCTTTACGTGCTGTGAAAACATTTCAGTATTTGGAAGTAAAAGTTTCAGAAACATCTTTTAAAAAGCCATGCTTGAAAATTGCAATAATTTTTAACGTTGTTATTTGGGGTTTCTTAAAAGACATTAAAGCCATTCAACTTGACCGCCCCTCTAGAAATTGTTTTTGGTTTATGGAAATAAACCTTTGACAAATAAATCTCTTGCAAACTTTCTGCATCTGAAATCGAAAATATTTTTTAAAGGACAAGGTTTAAGGGTGCTGAATCCTGACGTCCGATATTCGACATTATCAACATTACAAAAAAGGACTTAGAAAGTGTTATTGCTGTTTCTATTGCCACTTGCCAATCCAGCGAACCTGCTTGATGAAACCAAGCGTATTTAAAGCAGAGGGTAAGCTTCTTGTTTTTCAGTGGCGTCATCTATGGCCAAAAATATGACTTCAGCCACACAGCCTCTTTATAGGGCAGACCCATTCACATATCCGCAGATCGTAACTTTGACCTGAGAGAGCAATCAATCTCCAATTCAGTATCCTTAGAGGCATGATTTGGTATGGGAACATGGAGGGACTTTGGGACCCGACAGTTTTAACATGCACCAGTCACCATTTACTACATGTGGAGCCTTCGGCTAACAATGATCGAACTCGTGAGCTCTAAAACATGGGCCAAACGCCAGGCTATCCCAGCACTTAATATCTAGTATCTGAAACTTTTACATTCAAGTACATTTCATCAAAAAGTTATTTTGGGATTAAGTCGGGAATCACTTCATATACTAATTTCAATAGCACCTTGTAATTAGGTATCACATCAATTGCATTCTGAATAAATAGTACCTTCTAAACTCATGCATCTTGAATACATGCCAGGAGGTATTTCAGGCCACCATTGGAAAAATAGTCCATAGTTAGGAGCTGTGGAAGGTGGACAAGGTCTGCAAGCTGAAAAAAAATCAATGAAAAATTACACAAATTTACAAAGTACTTTGAAATTTTAATAAATAAAAATACCAGGGGTGATTGGGACATAAAAAGAAAAACCCTGAAAGTTTCAGGTGCAAAAAATTGATATCAAGATATCAATTTATATACCAATCATGTTTCATATTTAACATAGTTTTCTGAACTAGTATTTATAATTAAATTACCTACTAATAAAGAATATCAAACCTTTCTTTATAGTAATTAATTCAAGAAAAATCTTACTTCTTACAAGAACCACAATATTGGATTTTAAAACCACGAAAATACAAATTTGCGATATTGAATTTTTAAATCGCCTAAATACAAATCATAATGCACAGAATATTTAGACCGTGTAAATATGAATATCGATACATAGTTTCTAAATCACGTACAAAAACAAAAATCGATGCATGAAATTACAACCGTGTAAATATCAATTACGATATTGAATTTCATACAAATTGCGACATTAGATTTTGAAAACGCGCAAACACAAACTGCAAAATTAGACTTTTAAGTCTCATGAATAAGAATTGGGATGTACGATTTTTAAATTGTGTGAGTACGCATCGCGATATTAGCAGATTAAATATTAATAAAAAATGCAACTAAATATTAATAAATTCCCATTTATCAAGCAATGACTTACATTTTATTTCATCCTTAAATTACATGTTGATCTTATCTTTGGTGGATTTTACAGAGTTTTTTTTTTTTGCATAGGTTTAAGTCATCATCCCAGCCCAGTTTATTGCATAAAAAAAAAGAGTTGAAAAACATAATTACGTTCAGATCCATCGGAGAAATGATCTTTCTCACAGAAAGCACACATAGATTGGTTAGCATATTCCATGCCTGGATTACAGGGTGGACAAGGAATTCTATCAGAATAAATGGGGAGAGAGACAGAATCCGGAACATCATCCCGACAGATTTTTGGTTCAACCCACTTGTAGATCAATTGTGTTGTCTTCATTTCATCACATGGAGTGTGTACTTCATAGTAATCTTGTTTCCTGCAGGGTGGTCGATCCAGACATTTTGAGGAACCTCTAGCTGTTACAAAAGATAAATAGAAGTGCAAAAATATAATAAAGTACAAAACAAACAAATGGCTGTAATAAAGTACAAAACAGACAAATGGAATAACTGTTTCAACAGTTAACATATAAAAAAAATTTAATTTAGAAAAGTTCAGAATTTTTTTTTTTTTGCACTTTTGTTTAAATTTTTACCTTTATAACTTAGAAAACAATTTACTATTTATCTGATGGAAATATAAATAAATAATGTAATTATTCTAGATAAACTTGTTGCTTAGAGAATTAAGCTGGGAATGGCAAGTTTCTTCTTGCTGCCATAAGCTCTACTTAAAAGAAGACAAGAAACTATTCTTATAAAATTATTAAAAAACTAAAATTATTTATCAACTTAATTTAGTGAATTATAATTCCTTTTTTTTCTGTAAATGCAAAACAGTAAGCCATTACATTTTTTCTTTGAATAAAAATGTTAGACTAACAAACTACTCCAGAGATTAAGGATAAAAAAAATACATTTTTAAGACACAAATATATTGAACAATGGGTGAGAGTTTACAATCAAAAGGACTAGTTTGAAGCAAAAAATAAATTTGAAAAACGAATGAAGACAGATTTTAATGGAGTTTTTTACATTACATTTTCTTAGCAGAGACATACTTTTAGTGGAGTTTTTTACATTACATTTTCTAAACAGAGACATATTTTTAATGGAGTTTCTTTCATTACATTTTCTAAACAGACACATAATTTTTAATGGAGTATCTTGTATTACATTTTAATAATGGATTAATATTTTTAATGACTTTATTTATGTTATGTATGGATACATAGTTTTGCAACATATAAATATGATATGTATACATATTTGTGTTTGCTCAAAAGAAGTTCAGTCAAAGTGACTAAGATATAACTTAATTTATATGCTATATAACTATTGGTTACTAACTAATTTTCTTTATAAAATATACTGTCTTCATTGACAAAATAGGAAGAAAAAAACAATACAAATAAACAATTTTAATAAATTACTCTGGTTGAAAATAGTAATGCTCTTAGAAAAAAGAAACTTTTTAACTATAAAATGCATAAAACTGCTGCCTAAACACATAATGGTATTTAAAATTTTACTTAAAGGTAAAATGTAAATACAAATATAGTATACTCTCAATTCAAAAACCTTGTTATGTGAAAAAAATATTTTTCCCCTTGGCATTGTATATCCAATTAATGTTAATTTGAATTCCTATGTCGAAGAGTTTCTTAGTCAAAACCTTGCTGTGTTGAATTTTTTTCACAAAAATCGATATGTAAATTTATTGTAAGCCAATTATTTTCTATTTAATGCATAATTATTTACATCTTACTTTTAAAAATAAAATTATCATTGTTGTACATAGACAACTATCAATACAAACATATTTATTATTCCCCTGTATAATAAAGTTATTCTCCTGTATCATGACTATCTTTTAGAGTAATATTTCAGAGTAAATTTAAAAAAAATCTCGAAAACTTGCTACCTCAAAATTCAGCGACTGCAGAAGTATCTCAACAAGGGGGGGGGGCTCTCTCCCCACCCTGCATCTTCTCTATGTGTGTGTGCATATACTATATATATATGTGTGTGTAACATAAAAAGCTTCAATTAATCTTTTCATGTTATTCCTTTTTTATTTTATTATTCTAATCGAAACACTTTCTCACACTTTTAAATTCACATCCTGTCCTTAAATATATTTTTGGCTCAATCATGCGTTAATTAAAAGTAAGATATTTCCCCCCTTTGTTTTTTGTGGGAATTTTCCCATCGGGCAGGAATAGAGATATATATTTCCTTTGCGGAGGATCAGTAGGGGATTATTTGGCAGCAATTTTCTCCAAGGAAATGTTAGAGCTCACTTGAATTAAAGAAATTTTTTTTAAAAATCAGAAACAAAAAAAAAATACCTGTTTTATTTTTAATTGTAAATTAAATTACACGAATATTGAAGGAAAAAATTGTAATTTTAGAAGGGCTGTGCCACCATCTTTTAGAAAAAGTGAGGGGGCTAAGCTAAAAAATCCTCTGACCCTTTGGTTCCTGACATTCTCTCGACTTCGAGAAATCGAGAGTATACTGTATACCTTAAATCTTTATACTTACGAGAATACTGTGTCACTGAATCACAGGAAGAACAATCGGAAGACCCCGATACAGAATAAGTATTTTCGGGACATGGCGTGCAGAGTTTTGAACCTAAACTACTGTAAGATCCCGATGCACAAGGAGAACATTCAGATGTATATGCAACTCCTGTAATAATTAATGATCATATTGCATCAATAAATGTCTTTACTAACAAATTAACAACAGTTTTCTTGAAGATTAAAATGATTTCTTTTTATAATTAAGAAAAAAAATTGATAAATTAAACATTTGTAGTAGTAGTTAAAAAGGCCATGACAATAAATCTAGAGAAAATAAATATTCAAAGTAACTTCATCAAACTATTTCTTAACATCAATTTTCAATAAATTGTTATTAACTTTTTTGTAATTGAAGCTAGACCTGAAAACAATTATTCCTAACAATGGGAGTCAACAAAAAAAAGGGGGCGACTTTAATTAAATAAGCAACCAGTCACTTCATTTAATGATAAAAGTACATCAATGCAGACAGACTCTGGAAAAACAGAATTTTCATTAAAATGGCAAATTTAATATTTCGATCAAGATAATTAATATTTTGATTTTTCTGAATCCTTTAATTAGAGAGGAAAAGATTCCTGTGCAAAACGAGTTCTTTAACAATAGGTATATTTGAATATTTTTCTATAAAGTTCTTCATAGTAAGTATGTTTAATTAAATTTCATCACATACTTATATATTTTTTTTTTTGACAACTTTTTATAGCCATAGATTATTTCTAAAATGATTTTTTTAAAAATATAATTTAATACAAGCAAATTTAAAAAAAAACTTTGGAAAAAGTGGCGATAAAATTAAAAAGATTAATAAATATCAGTTCTCATTAGGTTTAAAGCCAATAAGTTCAGAGAATAAATCGGTCACTGACTACTAACTGAAAATTTAAATTTTCAGATCTAACTGGATCCATTTGTTCAGTTTATAAATAAAATTACACTCAGATTTTGTAAATATTACTAAAAATATATTAAATAACAATAGTTTAAAACAAATTGCTTTTAAAACAGAGATAATCTAGGTAAAATTAACAGCATCTGACCAAAATTTATAGTATAAACAAAACATACAGTCAATGGACAAACTTCAAAAATTAAAGTGAGAAAAGCCAACAAGTTACAAGCACCAACCAATATGTGGATTTGTGTACAACAATATAAGGATTTAAAAAAAAAATTAGAATGACAGGCATTTAATTATAAAAATGCCAATTCTAAATAATAAAAAAAGATACCTTACGATATTAAAAAATAAACAATTGTTAGTATTTCAAATGTTTGATCAAATTTTGACAAGTTTTTTATGTTAAGTCTGCCTTAAATATAGGATAGATGCTGTGCTAAATAATAATTATTAAATAAAAATTTTACATGAATAGAGCTATTGAAAAATTCTTATTTTTCACTAAAGGAATAATATAAACCTGTATGAATGAAAAGAACGTAAATTTCAAAAATATAACTGAAATAAAATTTTAGAAGTTAACTTTTTTTTCTTTTTAAATGAACTATAATGAATTTCAATAGTTACAATAAATTTCAGCATTATTAAAAATACATCATACATTACCACTTATTTCAATTTTCTTAATGCGTATTGGCTTGGGCTTCCGCATTTTCTCCGAAAAACCCATTCCAACAGTTTTCCAATAAAGAACATTTAACCCAGCTTTCAATTGTACCTGTAATGAAAAAAATAATAACATTCTAATCTTGTTATTTTATTCAAAAAAAAAAAAAAAAAAAGGCTGAAGGATTAACATGTCGAATGTTTAACAGAAGATCTTGTAAACCTCAATCAAATTATAAATATATTACATTTTGATCATATAGAAAGTTCAATATATTGCATTTCGTAAAACTAATATTACGAATGTTGTATATTGGTTATTTCTGTAAGTCAAAAATGTGAAAATTAACGTTCGCGACAGAAAATTTAGAACAATCACTGCAAAAATCATTCTTTCTTTCCTTTTTTTACATTTATCATTCACTTGATGTGAAAAATTCTTTGTTTAAAGGAGAATTTCTTAGTACCTTCACAAAAAGACGTCAAAAAATTTCGTTATTCCGTTGATTTTATTGCTCCGCAATTTACGTAACATTCTAACTTTCAATTTTCAGTTTTATTTCTTCTTAAAAAGTCGGCAATTTAATACCTAAATCAAAAATCAAGCCAGATAGATCTTTATATTATAAGTTAAACGCAAGAATGAATAATGAAACCAAAAAATATTCGCGCATATACAAACATATGATAGTAGTAGAAGTAGAAGTTACTTGAAATAGTAAGTCAAGTAATTTAAATACATTAAGAACTGAACTGAATGTGTCAAAACGAAACAAAAAGTGGGTGTGGCGCAATACATTTAAAGAGTTTCGTTTTCTTGTTTGCTATTAAATTTTGTTACGTTTTCTTGTTTGTTATTAAATTTTGTTTCGTTTTCTAAACAACGAAACATTAAAATAGAAAGTTTTTACCGAGTTGAAAAAACTCTGGAGCTGAAGAAAAAAAAAATCAATGAATTGTTTTTCAGCTAATTACATTGGATTATTATTCGTTTGTGATTACATTATGTGTAATTATTCCATCTTTGGATAACTTAATTCATATTTTGTGACACAAACCATTAAAAATAATTTTAAATGAAATAAAATATAATATGTACCGTTGACGTTCTCCATTTAGCTTCTTCGGTTGTACGGGGCCATTTATACTTTTCAACGTCTTCGATTGATTGACACTGATCATTTTGAGCCTGTTACAAAAATAATTCTTTAAAACGAATCTTCAAGCTTTATACTTACTTTTTATTAGCATAATAAAATAGAGTGAAACCACATGCTACTAAGAATAAACAATTTTTACCAATATATAATTCATAAACAATGTTTATACCTAATGTTTTGTTAACGTTAAAACATAAGAAAAAACTTAATAGTGATTACATAATATTTATGAAGTAAAAATTTTAAAATAGTTCGATGTTGTTTTAATTAGAAATTGTGTTTAAAATTCTCAACCTTTATTATTATTGCTTTCCAACTTTGTAATTTTTGGTGCACAAAATTATGTACGTATGGGTAGAAGAAATTAAAATTACGCAATCTTATAGGTAACCTTTTGGATGATTTAACTGGTAAAAGAAAAAAAATAATTTCATCATCAGAATCCTTTTTCTACTAATTTTTCGTTTAATAACTGTTTGGGTAAAATAAATAAATAAAAAAAAACTTTAAGTGAAAAAATGGAGAAAAAAAATTTAAAAAAAAGTTTTTTTTTTTTTATCTCTCAGAGCGTTAAAAATATAAACTGTAACTTTATTACATTATCTATCAATATACAAATCAGACAAATAAATAAATTATAGGAAGTTAAAGATGAAATCAAAATAAGCACTTTATGTGTATTTTGAAAAAAAAAAAAATACTTTTGATTATTTGAACTATATAGCATTGACCGAAACTATAAAAAGTAAAACCTCAGTAAAAGAAGAAAAAAAAATTCACCAATTTTTTTACATATCAATTACATATCAATTCGCAAATAATATACAATAAGATTTCATTTTACTGTCAAGAATCCAATTGCTACACTATTTTTTTATATATTTGAAATAATAATAGAGAAAGTATACTATTTACCTCGAAATTGAATAAAATGGAAGGATCAGTGTATTGATAAGTATAGGATAATACTCCCGGCTTGACCAATTCCACAGAATACGTGAGGGTTGCTGCACATGGACCACCATGGGAAGATATAAATGACTTTGTTGGTTTCCATCCGAACCTAGGCATAAATTAATTGTAATTTTCGAATATAGAAATGCTTTCATTATATTGCAAAAAAGAATTTTAGCAATTCAAGATAGATTGCACGAGAAGTTAATTGCATATTATAAACTAATATAATATTAATTAATATATAATTAATTAATATATAATTAATTGTTCATAAATAATGATTAAGAAATTGCTAGACTTTAATGAAAGACGAAGTACAATATAAATTGTCAATGCACACTGTAATAAGGAATTGAAATATTGCAAACAATTATTTGGGGTAGGTTCTCAGAATTTTAAAATTAAAAACTACTTGTTAAAACATAGTATTGTTTTCTACAACAAAATTGCTTTTTTCACAATTATTATTTTCTTTCCTTTAATTTTTATAAGTAGTATCTTTATTGTATCAATTACGTTTTGTTTGAAAAATAGTACGGGTATTCTTTCTCCTGCATTTTAGAAAATCTGGAATATTATATTTGTGTTAGGTTCTTAGTATTCTAAAATTACAAATTACTTGTTATTACCGTTTTTTGAGACAATAGAAATTTTTCCCAATAATTTTTTTATTTTATTTAATTTTTATAAGTAATATCTTAATTGTATCAATTACGTTTTGTTTGAAAAATCACGGGCATTCTTTTTCCTGCATATTAGCAAATCTGGAATATGATTCTATTTGTATGAGATTCTTAGCATTTTAAAATTGCAAATTACTTGCTAAAATACATTACCGTTTCTTAGAACGAAAGAACTTTTCCTCAAACAATATTTCTTTTACTGCTTTTATTTATTATGAGTTGTATCGTTAATGTATTAATGATATTTTCTTTAAAAAATAGCACGGGCATTCTTTCTCCTGCATATTAGCAAATCTGAAATATGTCGTGTCTGGAATACAATTTTATTTGTGTGAGGTTCTTTATTTTAAAATTACAAATGCCTGATTTTAAAATTGAAAACTGCTTGTTAAAATTTTTCACAATAAAAGAACTTTTTTCGAAACAATTTCGTTTATTCCTTTTATTAATTATAAGATTTATCCTTATTGTATTAATGATATTTTCTGGGAAAAAAGCAGTGGGTATTCTTTCTCCTGCATATAGGCAAATCTGGAATATGTCGTGCATGAAACTGGAATGTTGAAAGAATATTATTAAAATATTGCTTCTTAATTCTGTTATTTATTTTAAAGTGTAAACATTTTGGAAATGGAATTAAAAAAAAAAAAACATCATGGAAAAATTTATACTTAATTTACATTTTCCGAAAACTCAGCTCTACCCATGTCAGAGAAAAGAAATGTACCTCCAATGCTAAGTCCAATTTTCCAATTCAATAATATTATTACAATGTGTTTTTTAATATTATGAAATGGAATATTATAATAATAATAAATTCTTTATAATTCTAAAATGGCTATTTAATAAATAATAAAAATAATGTTTTATTATTATTATTTCCACCACCCGGCTTCTGCTTTGTAACTTTAATTTATAACTAGCGTTTATCAAAACAAACAAAAATTTTATCGATGAGATTAGATTTAGAAAAATTATTTTAAAGTTCCAATAAAATTTTAAACAATATTCGGGTGTATTAGAAGGCTTTGTCTTCATCTTTTAAAAGACAACAGTCTTTCTTTGAAAGATTCTATTGATTAAAGTTCTGCAAATAGAATTCTTTCTTTCAGAAAAGAGCATTCCAATAGTTATTATTTTCACTTACTCAGAGCAATTCACTCCCACTCCAGATTCCGATACGAAATTGTGCAAGAGGCGAAAACTGCTTTCAAACGATTCTACAGAAACATGGAATCCGGGAGGCAGGTGATCCCAGGAATCGAATTTCACTCCCCCACCTAGGGAAAATGTTCCTGGAGGACACGATAAACATTCTAAAGTTGTTCGATTAAAGTATGTTCCAGCATCGCAAGATATTCCTGTCAATGAAAAGTAATTATTTATTTGCCTCCTTTTTAAACTTGAAAGGAAGGAAAACAGAAATATTTATATTTGTTTTAAATGTAATAAAAAGTACAATAAAGTATATGATGTCACAAATGTACTAAAAAGTCGAAATGGCTAATTTTGATTTTCAAAATAAATTCAGAGACAAACTAAATTTTATTTGTTTGCTATAAGTCTACCGAATGATTGTATTTCTTTGATTATACAAAATACATTTGATTTAGCTTTTTTTATTAAAAAAAAAACTTTATTTTTAATATCACTTACTGTGTACATAATTATGTGTATTTTCTAATTTTAAACAGAGTTTATATTATACATAACATAAATATAGTTTATATATAACAAGAGTTTATATTTTAAAAATACAGAAACAGATTTAGAAATTTAGGGGCTCTTAGACACATTAAAACCGTAGGGAGTTTTGACTCCAAAATTTCCTTCAATTTTACATTTCTTTAACTTATTCATAGAAAGCAAATTTGATATTATTTTGCAAACAAAACTGAGGAAATGTATTTAGCATAACATGAACTAAAGAATTAAAAAAAAACTTGAAGAATGGTCTCAATGGCATATTTATTACATTTGAAATTAATAAATGAAGACCAATGGGGAAGAACGATTTTTGTCCTTTTTTCAAAAAATGGTGAGTTGATCACCATCTGTTGTATTTTGAGAATTACCAAGTTTTTGAAAAATGAATAACGTGGAAAATTTGTTCTCACCGAAAGTTATTACACATTGAAGATGAGCCATGCAGGAGGAAAACGATTCTTGTATAAGCATAGAAAAGACGAATAGAAAGAAACGACGGAAGTATTGATTAGCAGTGTTTCCCAAAGTGTGGTACGCGTACCCCCAGGGGTACGGGAACATTTTAACGGGGGTACGCGTTCTTATGCGAATTATCTTGCAACAAACAAAAATTTTAATTATAAACAAAGCTAGCCATGAAAATTTACGATTACGTATTTTTCTATTAGCTATTTTTTGCAGAGTTAACATTCAATTTAGTGGTGTCAACAGCTAGTTGTGATTTTTAATTTTCGTGCAATTTTTTTATCACAGCAAAAATAATCATCCTTCTCACAGATGCAAATAAACTTATTAACAAAGCTTTGAAACAAAAAAGAACAATAAACATATTTTAAAAAAATTGCATTCATTTTTTTATTAATGGTACACAGCGTTGTGAAAAATTTAGAAAGGGTACGCAAAAGTCTGTAAGTTTGTCTACTGAGGGTCGCAAAAGTCTACTGAGGAAGCACTAATTGGAGAGAAATTTCGAAGAAAAACTGTTCTTGTCCAATCCGATTTTCAAACTTTATTTTTTCTCATCATAAAAAATTATAAATTTCGCTTTTTAAATTTTTGGGGGGATGTAAATAAATGCTTGTGATATTCATGTATATATTTATTTTTACGGTTTCAGCAGTATGCTAGCTCCTGAGCAATCTCAAACCTTTAAATTCGTTTTCTTTTTCCCTCCGCAGAATCAACTTTCATCGACATAAACTGCATTTCTCTTCATCAGAGTGATTTTGATCACTCTGATTTTGACCAGAAATTTTAGATAAATTATTGAAAATAATCGATTATTTTTGATAAATAAAAATTATTCGCAATAATTGAAAATTATTCGCAATAATAAAGGCAGTGAAATTACCCGGCATTCCATCAGAGATTCTATCAGAAGCCTGATGGAATTACCGAGGAACCGTATTCCTCATTTGTCTTCTAATTCCTGTATTTACATAAATTCAAATAAAATACAATTATAAGGATAAAAAAATTTAACAAGAAATTGATATATCATTGCATTTCCTGAATACTTACGGCAGTCATTTACGCGCGTTGGAGGATTGGGAGCACCACCCACGCATGTCCCTGGTTTGGGGACAGATACTCTCCATCTTCCACCACTCTCATCACATTCCGTAAATTCATAGTGGTAGTCACGCTATAATACACAAAGGAAAAAAAAAACTTTAATAAAACACATTTCAATATACATAGTTCACTATATAAAAAATTCAGTATTCCCTTCATTAAAAAGAATTTCACTTTCAACAAGTTCCATATTTATAATACATTCGTAATCTAATGCAAGACCGAAATCAAAATTAAAAAGTTTTGTATACACTCTACACTGTTAAAATTTTCCTTCAAAAATTACGGTTAAATAACCGACAGCAATCTGTTCTTCCTATTGACCGTAAAGTTTACGTTAAAAAACATTTTTTTACCTTTGCAATTTTGAAACCGTTTACAACTTGTATGTCTTAAAAGAGAAAGATTTCAAGAGGAGAATTTTTAAATCAAGAAGTATTTTAATTCGTCTTACTTTAATACAAAATGATGCTTTAAAGAGAGAGAAAAGAACATTATCATATAAAAGATTCCATATTGATTTATAGATTCATTAATAGAATCGATTAAACTAACGATTCCATAAATTATATTTTGGTAATTGTTTTCTGTTTTACAACTTGAAGCTTTTCTTCAAAAAAATAAAATACAATATTGCGAGACATTTTCGTTGTTTTAATTATTATTTAATGACAATTCACGAGTAGTGTAAAATTTGGAAACTAATTTTGACAAATTATTAATACGAATGTGAAACAAAATTACAAAATTTTATTAACAAAGTAATTGAAATTTGTGTGAAAAAATTATTTCAATAAATATTTTATGTATTTTCACGTTATCAAATCGGTAAAAACGATATTCTGCCTGTTTCGTAAAGTGAAATAATTTCAATTAAAAAATAAGGCCTTAAAAATAGAAAAAGAACATAATTATTTAAGCAAGCAATTTTTTAAATGATGATTTTGAAATAGTTTTCAGATTTACAATGGGATGCCTGCAAGTGGCGTAGTGTGGGTATCTCGATTCTGATTGGTTGTTGGAACGTGGAATTTTTTTACATTAGCAACTGTTCTTTCTATTTTATTTCGAGTAAGCCAAGCCAGTCAAGTATCAATTCTTTTAAATGACACATTCTATATTCTTTCACAAAGATTTCGATTCTTACACTACATATTTCTTGCTTAAAACAAAGACAAACACGAAGCCATGGAGAACATAAACAAACTAATTATGCATCGAAGTTGCCAGGTACACAAAAGAAAAATATATCACGGTTACAATAAAATGCATAAACAAATAATTAATCTAAGTTAAGTAAAAGACTTAGAGAAGGAATTAAATTTCAAGAAATTCGACGAGCGATACGGTGCTGTATTTAATTAACTTCACGTTAATTAACATTCTAACTTATGTGGAGAAACTTAACTCAACTTAAACACGCCATTTTGCTTATAAACGATCAGCTGGCGCTCATGTCATAGGTAACATGTGCGGGTACCTGGTATTATTTATTTATTTATTTTTTTTGAAATGCAAGTACCCTATTTAAGACTTTAATTATTTTTAACAGCATATAAAATACCAAGACATTTTCGTTGTTTTAAATATTATGTAATGAAAATTTAACAGTTTTTCATGCAAAATGTGTAAGCTAATTTTAACAAGTAATTTTAAAACGTGAAGCATTAAGGAACATTGACATTAAGGGAAACAAATTTTATCTCGAGCCAAAGCTTTCGACAATTTAATCTTAATAAGTTTTATGTAAAGCAAATGAATTATTTATACTGAAATAAAAATAGGAAGAACGTTGAACTTAGTGATTCACCCAAAATAGTTTGATTTAAAGAAGTTAGAGATGTAAAAACTCTGATCATTAAATCCAAACCAATAAAGATTGACGATCGATAATATCTTGTCTTGATATTCGTTTTAGATTAATGCTTAAATCAGTCTTTGACTGATTTATCCATTCGCTACGATTACGAACGAGACTTTTTTGCATTCTGCATATAGCTAAATGACGAATTTTAGTATGCATTAGAATCCGTTGATAGCCGGTCAGGTGGCCGAGCGGTTATCGTGCCTGACTGTGAAGCCATAGGCTGCGAGTTCGAATCCCGCTCTGGGCATGGATGTNGTGCAGATGTGAAGCATTTAGGAACATTGACATTAGGGAAAACAAATTTAATCTCGAGCCAAAGCTTTCGACAATTTAATCTTAATAAGTTTTATGTAAAGCAAATGAATTATTTATACTGAAATAAAAATAAGAAGAACGTTGAACTTAGTGATTCACAAAAAATAGTTTGATTTAAAGAAGTTAGAGATGTAAAAACTCTGATCATTAAATCTAAAACAATAAAGATTGACGATCGATAATATCTTGTCTTGATCTTCGCATTAGATTAATGCTTAAATCAGTTTTGGACTGATTTATCCATTCGCTATGATTACGAACGAGACTTTTCTGCATATAGCTCTAAATGACGAATTTTTGTATGTCTTAGAATCTGTTGATTATGCTTTGCGATCATTTTTTTTTCTTGAACAAAATAATGTAACATAAAAATATACAATTGAATGATTCCAAACAGCCATTTTTCTTGTATTTAACACAGATTTTGTTTCCGATTCATTTGGGATAAAACTTAAATCTGATTATTTTTCTGAAGACTCATAAAAAATTAAATATTCACTACGAACCTAACTTTGTGAATAAAAAGTTCAGACTGCATTAACTTTCAAAACGTGTATTTTTCCTTTATTGGAAAAATAGATAAATACCTTTAACTACATGCAATTATACTAGACAAAGTTATAAACTAACACTAAGTTATAAACAAAAATGTTTACAAAATTTTATGAAATTTAAAAATTCTTTTAGTTATCAATTAAGTGTCTATATCAAAATGAATAAATTTACTTACTTTGCACGACCGCTAATACAGAAATATCCTTTGGAATTTATTAATCGAGCTTTATAGGTAAAATAATATCTAATTTGCAATAAAAAATTAATAAGAATCAGGCTGAATTTCAAATTTTAGGTAAGATAAAAGTGTCACCGCGTTCTTTTTAATGAGGAATATAATAATAGATATTCAACAAGAACTTTGAGAAATTAAAAACAAATCAATTCAAAAGACGTCCAAGCACGATGCTTGCCTTGCAGTCGCAGCCAAGATACGAAAGAAAAACTACAAGAATATAAGTTAGGTGATGTTTATCGCATTAAGTAAATAAAGCAGCAATAACTCTATCAATTTACTCATTTCAATTCGCTTGTTCTAGAATATTTGTTTTTGTATTTGTCACTTCTAAAGATAGGTAAATAAAAGAAAAATATTGGGCAAGTCATGTTATGCTGAAGATATGAGAATATAATCTACAATTCTCTTTTGCGAATAAAAGGAAGCATATGCGAACACGATATCATCAAGTAATTGATAAATACAAGACTGTGATGTGTTAGAACTTTTACTTTAAAACTTGCGCAATTACATTTAACTGAAGTGGGTATTATCTCCTGTTATCTTCAGGCACTTTAAAAAGTTGCATTTTAGCTAGTTATCGCCCGAATCTAAGAACAATGTGATACATATTCAAGTGACGTAGTGTGGGTATCTCGATCCTCATTGGTTGTTGAAACGTGGCATTTATTTACATTAGCAACCGTTCTTTCCATTCGATAGCGAGTAAACCAAGCCCGTCAAATATCAATTCTCTTAAGTGACACATTCTATATTCTTTCACAATGATTCTTCACGTTTTAGTACTCAATCTTAATTGTTAAAGGGGGTGACTTCAAATATGCTAATTAATTAGAGCAGATGATATTCTAAGTTACGAATTCAGACACAAAAATATAGTGGGTAGCCGCAATCTGGGTAGTCCATAGTTTGGTCAGGAGAGCGAGCCAAAGTTTCGATCCCTTAATGTTAATTTTACTTTTTATGTATTTCACTACAACTTGACATTTTTTTTATGAGAATAAAAACATTTTGCACTCAATTATAAAACTTGTTTATACAACGGTAATGCATGAAAAAATTAGTTTTAATAATTATTTATTATTTCAGATTATTTTATTTCAAAATTATTCGTATTTCATAAATGTAAGGTGTAAAATTGTTCATAAATTAGGTATAAAACCTAAGCATTTCAAAAAATCCAGATACTTAAAAATTCGATTTCTCAGGAACTATTCGACCGATTTCGTTCAAATTTTGCATTTTGCCTTATATCTCAACTCAAGATAAGTGTCTGATATTATAGTGTTAGTGCAGCTCTTATCTACTTATTTATTTTTAAAATGCTCAACTCTTCAAGATAAGTGTTATTGATACTAAAATTATAATGTTACTGCAGTTTTTATTTCTTTGATAACGCCATCTCTTCGAGAAAAGTGTTATGACACAATTGATTTACTGCAGTTTCGAATTTCTTTGAAAACTTGAGTTAATATTGTGAGAACTCCTTTTAATTTCTGAAAAAGCAATTGCTAGTGGTTTACCATACTTATCGACGTAAATATTACTTTTAATAATGATGACAATAACGCCTAATTGTAATAATTACTCTGCATAAATATTTATTTAAGCATTTTTTTTAAGAGTCCATTGGAGAACACTGGTTAATTGAAATATATTGGTTAGAGCTTTTGAAACTAATTTTCAAAATAATGATAAATAAGGCAGAGTTCATCAGAATTGATTCATTAATGACTGCCGATTTATTAATGACAAGTACTGTCAATTCATTAATGGCGAATTCTGTCAATGTACAGTTAATGAATACCCACGTCCCATGTATACTGACAGTTACCTAGGTAACGTCATACATCAGAAAATGATATATTTTGAGAAGAGATTGAATATTTGACCTTTGTTTTATTATGAAAAATGGCCCGGTGATATTTTCTGACATAATTTCAGGCTTCAAGAATAACTTAAAAAATATCAAATTATTGAAAAAATATCACAAAAAAAAATCACAATTTTCTACAAAGGCGAAATTAATATTAGTTTCGTTTATATATGACAAGATGATAAATTAGCACGTCTTTCAGTTTAAAAAATATTCATA